CCAGGTTGAAATTTGTTCGTGAACAGAAGGGTAAGGAAAAATCGTATTGGGAAAGAGTATTATGGACAGTCGAAACCCAAATTGAGTTGTTTGGACGTAATTCTAGAAATCATGTATCGAGAAAAGATGGCGATGCCTTCAAATAAAAGAAAATAGTTCCAACTATTTGAAATTTGGTGATGGCTGTATCAGGTTTTTGTGGTGTTTTTTTTTTTCTGCAAATGCTACTGGCAAAAATGAATGACACAGCATACCAAAATATTTTGGAAGCAAATTTAATGATTTCGGTTGAAAATTTTGAACTTCCTCTTGATTGAATCTTCCAACAAAATAATGATCCTAAACATATTGCAAAATCTACGAAGAAAAGACTTGGAAAAATTATGTAAATATCCTGAAGTGGACAAGCGAGTCTTCTGATTTAAACCCAATGGAGAACATGTAGCGTTATTTGAAAATTCAAATCCAATCGAGATCTCCAACAAACATCCAGATTCTGCAGACCATATGCGAAGAAGAATGGAACATAATACCAACTAAAATTTGCAAATCATTGATTGAGAACTACAAGAAGAGGTTAGTTTGATGTAGAAGTGAATAATGGCTATTCCACAAAGTATTCAATAAAGGTTATGTATTCTTTCTGTATTTAACGAATAATTTTTTCACACGTCAAAATTGATAATATAATCATTTTTTCTATAAATTTAGTTATTTATTTTTAGTTATCTTATTTGTTTTCCACCATTGTATATGTGTCAATTAAAAACTATTTACCTACCTCTGTCTATTCGATTATATGTATTTATCTAGATTTGTCCGATCGATTATCTCAATATCGACATCTCTCCATTGGTGTCTGTCTATATATGGATGTAAGAGCATCTGTCGTTTCGTATCTGTCTATCTACCTCTATCCATTTATATATATATATATATATATATCTACATACTTACCTTACTACATCTGTCCATTCATATCTATCTATCTATCTATCTATCTATCTATCTATCTATCTATCTATCTATCTATCTATCTATCTATCTATCAGTTCGTATCTATTTATAAATCTCTTCATACATATCAAACTGGGTATCTCTATATATCTGACAGCTCTGTATCAATTTATCTACCTCTGACTTCCTATCTACTTATCCATTTAATTATTTCTGTCCATTCGTATCTATCTACCTACTTAACTATATATCTACCTCTGTCCATTCGCATCTATCTACTTATCTCCATTCGTCTATATCTTCATCTGTCCAACGTATCTCTATCTAAAAATGCTACCTGTCCATTCTTATATATCTATCTAAGTCCATTCATATCTATCTATCTATCTACATCTGTCGATTTGCATACAAATGTCCATTCGTCTATATTCGTTTCTATCGATATACATGTGTACATTCATTATGTCAATTCTGTCCATTCGTGTCTATCTATCTACCTATCTATATCTGTCCATCAGTATTTATCTATCTGCCTCTGCTCATTCGTATCTATCTATCTATCTACTTCGGTCCATTCGTATACATCTGTTTACTAATGTCAATTCGTATCTATCCAT